CCGCACGCAGCCAACCCGAAGGAAGCCTCAAAAACGTGGCGACGAGGTGAAAGAGAGTCGTCCAAGAGCTCCAACTTGCAATTACCAACATCGCTGCACTTCCAACAAAACATCTGTGACTCAACCTGTCTGTCTTCCAACTCGGCGTAGTCAGAAGCGTGCAGCAGTTCCTTTCTATCCCCGCAGAAGCTATCTACTCTTCAACACCATTGTCAAATCCCTTCAAAAGATAGTTCGTGTCTTCCGATTGCTGCGGACATTAGTTCAAGCTCGCAAGGTCGCCTGTGGCCTCGGAGGTCTTGGACCTAAGGATTGCTCGCAAGACGGAGTTATGCAATGGAGCTATCTCAGTCCGTCCAGCAGCGAGTCGATGTCGATGGAACGAGCCGAAAACAAACGTGGAATCCAAACAGTCCGAACCTCTGGTCCAACGTTGGGTAGGTGTTCTTTGAAGGGACTCTCCAGCAATCTTTTACAGGTCTCCCCAACCTGAGGGATCAACACGGTTGATGGTCTCCTCACGGTCATCCTCAACAGCACGTGGGCTAGGGCTTTGGAATCGGCCCAACACCCAAAGTAAGATCCCAAACGTCTCGAAAGACAGCGCAAAGCAGTGGGTGTGGCGGTGGAGTTCGAAGTGAGCGCGGGCGAATCAATGTGTTCAAAGCCTCGTGTAGATACTCTGTTTGTGTTTAGTGTGCGTGCTCGTTGGTTTTCACGCGGGGTTTCACTGGCGGGTTTCACCCACGCGTTTCAAGTGGTTGTAGCTTAAGTTCCCATCAAGTAGAACTTCAGGTCGGATTGACAACAAGAGAAGCTCCAAGGTCATTCTAAGTGAGCTGGTCTCAACAATCGTGGTGCTGAGAAAACCAGATTTCAGTGTACCTTCCTTACCAGGAGACTTTGAGGCCATTGCCTGTCGAGTGGAATACGGCTGCTTTCGTCCGAGCAACTCCTCCTTGAACGGCACAAAAGGCCTTATCCCTTGTTGCTGCTAAGTTGCCACTGCACTTCAGGGTTGTGATGATGTCCACCGCGCGCACCGTCTCAGAGTTGAGTGCAGCGCGCGTGAAGGTTCTCCGGCTAGTTGGGGTCGCGAATCTGAGCAAAGATTCCAGTCAGAGATGGAAGGGACATAACTTAACCGACCCAAACACTGCAACAGCTCCCGAAGACTTTTTGGAGCAAAGTGCAACTGTCTCTCAAACCAGTGAATGACCCGCCTATTGAATTTGGGCCGGTCTTCATCTTGTTCCAAAAGAAAATAAGGCTTTTTGGTGGGAGTACTAAGGATTGATCAACATCTGTGAGCAAAGTCCAAATTAGAGCTGCTTGTGCCCCAACAAACTTGGGCCCGATTGCAGCAACCGCAGTAAAGGAAAACTCTCTGACAAATGCCTTGCTCCTGAAACATGTTTGGGACCTCAGGCTGCACACTTGCTTTGCTCCCATCCTTTGCAAAGCGAGCTCACATTCCCCAACAAATCGCATGTGCTCCCGACGCCAAACGCCCGCTGTTTTGGCTCAGCTGCCCCGCCTGGTCCACTGCATGACTGAGAGACCCGCAATCTTCATGACGCACCTGATCGGGAGAATTCTGGTCGATTCGCAAGGTTCAACAAGACTCGCAGGCTGTCTGAGCCACCCTGCAACTGTCTGCTTGTATTTTTGGGGTTGTTTTCGTGTTTGCGGATGTTCTTTTGGCATTGGTATATACAGTAGATTTGATTTTGAAGTGTCTTTGCAGGTGCATCAAGCTTCATACGTCGACCAATTGTTTGTGTTGCGTGTTTTGCTGCAGAGAGTTCCGCTCATTTCTGTTAGGAGTGTGGGAAAAAGGTTGGGAAAAGTGTTCTTGAAGGTCTGATGGTTCAGGGAAGAGTTCTTTCATGATACAGTAAATTGTTCTTAGTTCGCAAGGCTTTGCAACTCAACACGCAAGCTTCTTTCACATTAAAAAAAAAGGCGGAAAGTATTCTTCGACTTGAAGGTCGTTGCCTGATTTCGACATGCGAGCACCTGTCCCTTTTTTACTTCCACAGCACCGGTCCCAGTTGCAACAATGATCGGAATCCAAGACCATATTGTCAACAAGAAAGACCAAGAGGTCACTGCAATCCAGGGTCAAAATATGTGTACATTCTTTTTGTTGATCTTAAGAAAACACGTTCACCCACCGCAATGGTTGCAAACGAGAACACCAGAAGGACAGGACACACCAACCAACCGTAATGACAACACTAACAACTCACAGATCACGGCCGCTACTTCTCGGGCCTTCAGCCTTCATGCAAAAAACTTCGGAAACACACCGTATCCAGCAAATGCGAGCGAGACGAAAGTACATCGGACCAAGCACCTTGTGCAAAAACGAGATAAGGTGTGTGCCCCAGCGAATGTGTGCGAAAATTGAAAAAGTACGTCGCAATACACAAATTAAGAAAACAGTGAGGTACGTATAACTGCATCCTTACATCGCAACAAGCAAGTCATTAACTCCCCAATTCACCCCACCTTAGACAGCGAACAACAAAACGTGACAGGCGCAAGGGCGGCGTATCAGCCGTGAACCTTGAAAAACCACTCTTTCGAGGCTAAGAAGAAACTTCTTGAAGAGCTGGAAATGGGCTTCCAACTACATGGTCCTTTCCGGAATTTCACATGTCACATTGTACCCAGTGTTTTCTTTTGAAACAAGCACCTTCACAAGGTTTGGGTTTTTGTAAGCTTGGAATGGATGTTTCTCAAACCAGGGTGGTCTGTGAGTGGCTTATGATTGCTTGTTTGACTGAGGGCAAGCCCTTAGAAGAACGCTGTGTTTTCATGAGCATCCCCGTGTTCGGTCCTTTCTTTCGAGCATACCAACATGTGTGTGTGTGTGTCTGTGTGCGTGTATTGCCCAAAAAGATGGTAAACACCCTCCATCAAGAGAGTACCAAATTATCCCTTGAGCCAGCACCCGCGACCTGGCCAGACAAACTCGGCCCTCTGCGCGGCGAGCAGCGGCGCGTAGAATTCAGCAGCGGCGCGTCAACTGCCAAGCGCGAAGGGTTCAAAAGTTGGGACCAAGTGGTGTGAGCAGATCACAAGTGTTTGAATCTGAAGATTTGCACAGCTGCACCCAAGATTTCTCAAGTGTTGGGACCGGGTTTGTAGTACTCGCAGTTGTGTAGAAGAAAGAAAGAGCAAAAATGAAAAGGAGCCTCTCCCGTTTCCCGCCCGTTGGTTGCACAGCTGGTCGTTGATGCCAACGCGACACTAGAGTTCACTTGGCAGTGCAGGAGTGACCCCAAGTAGATGGAGACAGCCGAAGTGCATCTATAAGTAGGCCGATGAAGAAAAGGGACCACTGGCCTCTTCTCAGGAAATCCTTTCGCCTCCAAAACTGTTTTTTTAACTGGATTAGATACGTTGCAACTGGCTTGACCAAACGATGATGTTCTCCAAACCCAGAACTTGACACACCTGCCATGTCTGCCATTCCTCCACTGGGTCTCCTGGCCCTCCGAAAAAAGGCCAACTCCTTGACGGGCAAGTCCGTCACACCCTCAGGAGCTTTCAGCAGCCACATCTGCCAAGCTGCACAGATAGGCAGATAGACAAATAAATAAATTAGATAGAGAAAGAGATAAAAATAGATCAACATGGATATCTCATCTGGCTGGATCCAGTCATGCAAAGCCAGTACTCAATGAGGTCAAGGACCAGGTTTAACTTGGCCCTTGGACTTGTAGGGTATAGATATATGGACCGGTCTGTGGACAACCCGATTGGCTTCGTCAACTCGCTTTCGACACGGAAACCACCTCATGCTGTTCAGCTTTGGATCGCAACCCGTTAGATGTTGTGGTTCTGACGAGTTCGGCTCGTTGGTGGAGAACACGGAAGGAAACCTTGTACCGACCAGAAGTCCACCAGCTGCTCCTGTTTCCGTAGCAACTCAAGACAAATGAACACGTGCCTGGTCTGACCGTCTGACACCTTCGCCTCTGATAAACCCAGCCCAGTTGCTGTGTTGGCGTCATTCTGGTCCTTTCGAGTCTCCAGGTTCCTGCCGCACAAGCTAGAGGTGTTCCTGGATCTGAACGGCTTTCATCATCACTGTGCCATGAACATTGCCAGCGGTTATCTTTTTCCATGAAGCTACAAGTACCACCCGTTGGCCACGCATTATTTATTGCTTTGGAGAGTGGGTTCTGTCAGCAGTTCAGTCTCCGCTTCTTTCCCATCTAAACTTTAGGACCTGATTCCGGCACTTTAACAAAGACACAAAGGTGGCTGCGTCTGAAAATGAGGGATTGAGGGAAGCAGGATATTATATACTTGCCAAACCCACTGCAGAGCTACCTCTGCAATCTAGCAGTCTCGAATTGACTCACAACCATAGCCCGAACCGTTTTGGGCTATTTTTCACGTCTGGATCTCTTGCTCAAACCGTGTCTGTACTTTCATGGTGTCATTCACTCCCAATGAGATCCTGGCGACCCAGAAACCAACCGAGTAGCTTGAGCCGACCCACCAACTGCACAGCCGCACCCACCCGATCGCCCCACCAGCCAGCAGCCTGCCATCAGCTTGAGCCTCAGCTTCCTTCGCGCCGTCGGTCGTTGGACCGGTTCCCTCAGGAAGGGCGTCAGAAGGAACACCTCGGGTGCAGGCTGGAAGACAGAAATGCAACAAGTATAGTGACGCAGGGAAGCTCTCAGGTTGGAATTCTATGAGGATCGAACTCTGACTCTGGAAGTTTAAGGAATTGCGAAAATCTATTTGGAACTTTGCACTGTTCCTTAGCACTTCAGGTGCAGCAAGAATTCAGTCTTCCCCTGCAGTTCACCAGACATGATGAACATCCGAAACAGGCTCGAAATTATCAAGCGGAAACACGAGCCCATTCCACACTGTTGAAAACAAAAACTTTGTCGTGAAAAAGCGCCGGGGGCAAGTGATATGGGCACCACCCAGAATTGCATCTAATGGAACCTCTCGTGCAACCAAGCGACTTCCAGAGGCCATCTGCGTGCAGGCCTCAGAAGCCCAAGCAGTTGCGTAGGCCCTTCTGAGTGTGAATGATTCTGAAATTCTCCAAATCCAACTCACCCAGAATCAAGTGAATCACAAATCTCGGCCACTGCCCGTGGTCATTGGAGTCTTTGTGCGTGTTTTCTTTGGAAGAGGAAACATGAAATCTGCGAAGCGCTTTTCCTTCGAACCAGAGCGGTCTTCGTACACTTCATGATTTGTGCGTGTCATCGTTCGATGAATGCACTTGCTGCAAACATACCATGGAAAGGGGTGAGTACTGTTTTCATTCATTCGTACTCCTCCTTTAGACCAGTGAGTTCTTTACTTCTGGTCTAATCTTTCATGGATCAAAGTTATGGATGTGGTGCACTGATCCTGCCATTAGGCTCTGCATTTCATGCATCAGGTCTCGTGCACCATTCCTATGTCCATGGAACCAATTGGCTTCCATTTTCAACACTTCCTCTCGAGCCGTGAGGTCAGCTCGATTGTAGGCCCTGTTAAAATGGCCAAATTGAGGATCTGGGATTTTGATGCTTTCCGGTTCCCAGGGAGCATCGACAACCTCTGGCACGCTTTCGTGCTCACTGCCCATCTCTTCATCTTGCTGTTCATCTTCTCCTGGGGATGGTTCTGGCTCTGCCATCGAAACTTCTGCATTCTGCTCCCCAGGTGCTTCACTTCCAGTCGGCTCCACATACTCCACTGGTACTTGAACTACTCGACCATTGTCCAGTACCAGCACAACACTGTCACCACTCAATCCCGGTTCACCAGGATCAATGTCCATGCGGTAGATGCCGGCCCCTGGTAGTTGTTCTCCTCGTTCTCCTTGGATCACATTCATCTTGTCCCATCTCTTTCTCAATCTCAAACCATCATGCCATCTGTTGATCTCCTCCACATAGCTTAGGCTCTGCCACTCTACCCTCTGCACTGAAGGATCCTCCACATGCCCTCCAGCATTGATCAAGCCCCTGTGGATGCGTTCGCTGTAGTCCACTGCCATGGAGTTCTCCTTGTCCCACTGATCCATGAACTTCTGCTGGGCTTGAGCTTCCTCTTCAATGCGATGTTGGAGGAAGGCGACTCGCTTGGCTAGAGTTTGAACTCTGCTCCATAGGATCACGATGGCAATGGCCAGAAAGCCGAAGACGATCAGGAGGATTACCCACTGGAAGGGAGATATGTAGGTGCTTTCAGCATAGCCTTCATCGGTTTTGGAACCCGCGGCCAGCTCAAGACCGCTCAGAAAGACAATCCTGTTGAGGTACTTGGCGACTTTCATAATCTTGCCCTTCTCGATGTGGTTGCTTTCAAAATCCTGATGTTCCTGCTCACCTACACGGCTTCCATCTCCATTCCTGGCATTGCACCAGAACAAAAGGAGTCTCAGCCTTGCCTTTGATAGAGGTTTTGTGCCGATGTCAGCCACGTTAAGCACTGTGCTGATCTGTTTGACCTCCATGGTGCCGTCAGCAACTTTGCTCTGGCACCAGAGCAATTTTCCACTGATGTGGCGAAGTCGTCCGGCTCCACGCTTATTGGCAATCTGCTTGGTGGCTGAGTTGTCTACCCAACATACATGATGTACAGGGTCTCCAGCCAAAAACTCAAGCGCATGTTTGATGCAGATGCCATCACATGCTCCTGCCACCAGTGCATGGAGTTCGCTCTCAGCTGAGGAAAGGCTCACCACCTTCTGACCTCTTGACGTGGTGTAGATGACCATGCCATTCAAGCTGTGGACTGACGAGGATGTGCTCTTTCTCGTTGCTCTGTTGCCACTCCAATCGGCATCTGTAAAGCTTTCCAGGAGCCAGATCTCATGGCTGTGCCCATGCATACCTTGCCCTTGGACTGGTAGAGGGAGTAGGATGTGTTGCTCCTCTGTCTCCTTGAGGTAGCCAATCAGCCTTCGAGCTCTCTGCATTGCTAGCTCTGTTGGACTGGCCATCTTGCTTGCCAACTCCTTTATCGCAAAGCTGATGTCCAACCGTTCTTGCGAGAGGTAGATGCCCATGCCGACAATGGATCGAAATATCGAGGCATCTTCATACGGGACTGCATTTGATCCATCAGCATCTTGGATATCTGATGTAGCTGGCAATCGCTGTCTCCGCACAGGTCCATACTTGTCCTCAAAGGTCTTGATCATTCTTGTGGCATATTGTCCAGGTCTCACCAACAAGCCCTCCGGGATGTAGATGTACTTCCTTTTGAGAAAGGAGAATTCATCGTCGTAGTTCCTGATCATGGACACTTCTACATCAAACTTCTCCTTCAGCTTGTCAACAAAAGCATCGACGGGTTTCTGGCGTCCAGTGAACATCACATCATCCACGTGGACCAGGACACAGATGAGTTCACTGCCTTCACCTTTCCTTCCCAAGCAAGGGTTCACCACATCGAAGGTGAAGTTGAGGTCATTCTCTAGGTAGTTTCGCAGGTACTCGTACCAGGCTTTGGCTCCAATCCTCTGTCCAGGGATGTTCTTCAAGACCTTGTAGTAGCCGGTGTTCGTGGAGATCTGAAGAGGACGTTCTTGTGGGACCTGTAGGAAGGCATCCTTGATGTCCAGTGCTCCCAAAGTAGGCACTCCTTGCTCTCCTCTGATGCCTTGACTTCTTCCAACGTCATTCAAAAACAATGCAGGTAGGAGTCGAAGAGCATGTTGTCCAGAGGCAGGGCTGTACACTTCGTCACACCTGTCGTTGGCATACTCTCTAGCCACCAATCGTGCTCTTCGAAGCCAGCGTTTGCGTGTCTTCCCGTCCTCTTGGACATATGACTTGACTCTCCAGTCATGGACGAAGCGCGTGGTCAGCTTGTCCAGGTGTGCCTCTTCTGGAGCCAATTTCTCCATCACATTCATCCTCATGAGCCTTCTCTCCTCCACCTTGTTCGCCAACAGGTCTACTTCTCTGTCAGGGTCTGGTGGAGTCTGTGTCAACGGAGCATCACTCCACAACTCTTCTGGAATTGCACCGGGTACCAAGTCTTCCGCGGTTTCTTCACCTTCTTCAATCTCAATCACCTCCATGTCAAAGACTTCGTCGAGGTGGTACATGGTTTCTTCTCCAATGCATACCTTCTCAACCCGGCGCTCGATCAGCTCATGATGCCCTGATGAACCTGCTCCTCCACCTGACAGCTCTCCCGTCCTTGCCCTCTTGGCCTCTGGCTCTACCCTGACTGCAGATTCTGGCGGCGGGAGTTTCTTCAGAACTCGCCCTTCAGGAGGTAGTGGATCATCATCCCACGGCAATGGCTCAATGACCATAGGAATGTCTCCTCCTGTGCCCCTTTCCCCAGATTGGACATCCAGAGCTGGGGGTGTTCGCAGTCCTCCACTAGGCTCACCTCTTTGCGGGGCAGATGGTGCTGGCACACCAGCTTCAGCAGTCATTGCTTCCTCATCAGGCTTGAGGGCCTCCTCGATCTCCCTTTGGCTTTCTTCAATGCCTTCTTTCGATAGGGCATAGCGTTCAACTTCTTCAGCTTCCTCATCACGATACCTGAAGATGATCTCATCTCTTGGAGGCGCTGGCCCAAGTTGCAAAGGGACTGCACTGGCCGCTCTCTTGCTAGGAACGATTCGGCCTCCAAAGTTGATCTGATACTCGTAGGTGAAGGTGGCAAAGTTCTGGAAGTATGCATTAAAGCTCCTCCAAGGCCGGTCCACCCTTCTCACAGACCGTGTCAGCATGACCTGGCTGCCATCTCCCACAATCCAGGAATCCTGACCTTCCGTCTTTCCTAGGAACAAAGTCATCCTCCACCTTGGGTTCCCTTTGCCGGACTGTGGCTTCACGAAGGCGTACACAGGGCATCCAAAAGGGACCAAAGCACCATTGTATGTTTTGCCATGAACTAGTTCGTGGCTGGTGATCCCTTTGGAAGCTTGAAACTTGTTCAATAGCCAGCATGCGTGGCGAGCGGCCCAACTCCACAATCCATCGTTGCTATTGAGCGCAAGGCCTGTCTTCGCCATGACTTCTCCCATCAAAGTGCATGCAAGGCCTCGTACCCTTTGGATGGCATTCTCAGCAAGGGAGTTGCCGGCAGAGTCCTTCACCTTGGTGGTGTACAGGCGAGTTCGAAGCCCCATAGCATGCCTGCTATTCAGAAGGATCCTCAGGAGGGAGCGAATTGTAGGTTCGTTGTCACCATACAAGCCAATCTCAACATGGCCCAAACTCTGGATAAAGTTCATGATCTCGCGGGCCATGAGGTTCAGCTGTCCTTTGGATTGAAGGGGGACAGCTCCTAAGCTTCCAGTTTGGCTGCACACCATGATCAACCACATAGTTGACTTGAGCTCCTTGATCCTTGGATCTCGTCTATCTTCTCGCTCCTCCTGATCATAGAGGTCAATCACCTCGTCACCATCTTCAGGGTCGTGTCCTCGATCTCGTGCCTTTGGTGCTCTGTCCACCTCTCCAGCCTTGGTGTAGGCGAAGTCCAGGGATATGATCGGTATCCCACCGGTGTGAGAAGCACCGGTCCTCAAGTGCCTGTCAGGCCTTCCTCTGTACTTCAAGCAGACCTCACACCATGGCTGGTATGGTACGTGTGTAAGGGCATGTAGATCCTGCACTTGTTTCGAAGGCACGGGGATGACATTCTGCATCCTTGGTTGTCTGGCCATCTGAAGTTCTGCAGCTGCCACGGCCTCTGAAGCAGCCTTCAGCTCGCGCTCCTTGAGGTGGCTCACGATGCGTTGAAAACATTTCAACCTGCTTCCAGATTGGCTGATGCCGTAGAAGTGGCATGCTGCTCGAAGCTCTCTCAACTTACTTGTGGCTGTCAACTGGATGTCATTCACAATCACATGGTCTGGCAGTCCGGCCTCCAATACCAAGCGTCCTTCTTGTTCATCAACTGCTGCACGCTCAGCAATCACTCCACCACTATCCGCTGCTTCTGCACTTCCTTCATCATCCACCATCCTCAGTGGCTCCTCCATGGGGACCTCATGATCTCTCCTTGCAAGTGCCTCATCCACCTTCGGCCTCAAATCAAGGCCAGTCTCGACCTCAAAGCCCATCTCCTCAGTGCTCACCTCAGCTGGGGTGAGTATCGTCAGCACCAGGGTGTTGTCCTCGACGTTCTCGATCTGCTCCTCCTGGTTCACAAGCCCATGGAGGTTCTCACACATCTCATACAGCTGCCATTGGCCCTCAATTCTCACCAATGTCGTCCTCCTCCAATCAACTGTTGAAGGGATCTCGCCAACGAACTGCGGCGTCTGCAGCTTCCTTGCCAAATGGACTCCAATCCACTTGTCCTCATCCTGCTTCCAGCCGACTTGGTATCTAGCCTTCATTTGCAGGCCATCCAGCAGCTTTGCCTCCAGCACCCTGACCATCATAGGTTCTGACGTCTCCTCGACCACTGCACGAAGATGTCCAGTGGCCACCAAACTCTTGTTTTGCAGCTGAAGTGGGATCCTCACAACATGTTGCCCTAGACCAAACGTCATGGAATGTTGGCCCCCATTCAACTGCCCAGCTTCAATGTTCCAGCCTGCTTCCATCAACTTGCCGTAGGAAATGATGGGCTGGTTGATCTCGTCAGAGAAATGGGCTTTGTCAAAGATTTGCACCTCTTTGTCATCCTCAGTCCTGAAGATGAAGCACACTTGCTTGTATGCTCGAATCTCTATAGGAGTTCCTTGAGCATCTTGCAGACGGGGTGCTCCTTCATCCAGCTCGGTGCCAATGACCAAATAGGAGCTTGGCAAAATCGTAGCGTCAGCTCCTGAATCGATGACCACTTTCACTGGGCTCTCTTCTCCCATGCTCTCATAGTGCTCCTTCACAGCCATGATGTGGTAGATCAGCTTGTCGTGCTCGTCATTGGGCTCATTGTCCTCAGAGATGGAGAAAAACTGCACCATCCGGATTTGCTTGCTATCCACGCTTGGCATTGACATAGGCCTCAAGTCAAAGACCATGGGCTCATTCTTGAATTCAAAAGGTGATACTCCTTCCACTCTCTTCACGGTTCCTGCCTTTCCGCTCGTCCCTGGGCTCGATGTCGTAGTGCTTGAAGACACTGTTCCTGTCTCAGCGCTGGATCGAGGATTTCCACCTTCTTCACTGACTTGTCGAAGGCGTTGCCAGCAGTCCTTGGAGAAATGGCCCACTTTACCACATGTAAAGCACGTCTTCTGCTCGGCTTTGCCCTTCTGGCCCTTCTGGCCATCTCCTTTTCCAGCGCTCTTCGATTGGGACTTGCCTCCAAAATCTTGAGGCTTGCCATAGCCCTTTCCTTTGGCTTTTCCTTTTCCATCGCCCTTTCCTTTTCCCTTCTTGTCGAAGTCTTTGCCTTTTCCTTTGCCCTTGTGGTCGTTGCCCTTGCCCTTGATCCTGTCAATCTCCATGGGGACCACTCCATCTGTGCTGCTGGCCTCAGCTCCCAACATCATCACATTTGTCCATCTCATCGTCGCATTATCATACTGCACGATGGCCTCTCGAAGCTTCTGGTAGTCCTGGGACTCTGCGACGTTCAGCTGAAGCCAGGTTTTGAGCTGGCCACCAACACATCTCATCAGGACGGCGAAGCGGATATTGTCCTCGAGCCTTGAACCCGTCTTTTCATATTCTGCAAAGGCCTCTTCTAGCCGCAGGACTTGTCCAAGGATGCTCCCTTTCTTCATCTCAAAGGGCTTCCACTCCAAGATCATAGTCAAAAGGCCGAGTGCCCTGTTCTTGGAGGTGGGTTCCAAGCTCTGCACGAGGAGGCGGTACGCTTCCATGCCGTTGGACTCTTTGACCTGGCGGATCATGGCAAGAGGACGGTGCTTAACCAACGAAGCCAGCAGGGCATAGAGGAACTTGCTTCTTTGCTTCTCTTCATCAGATTGGATGCTCGGGTCGATGGGGTCGTTCGGCCTGGCTCTGATGTCCTTGAAGTCTTCGGTGAACATGCCGTTCAGGGATGAAAGATATTGTTCGATCCCCCAACTGAAATCTCGCCACTGCCCAAGTTCTTCTTCACGGTTGCGGGCATCTAGTGGTGATGGTTTTGGTAGCACCTTAAACCATGACTCCTCTCCAGCATTTCGCCTGACCAGGGCCTCAGCTGCTGTCCTTGCAGCTAACGAAGCAGCTTCTGCGGCCTGAACCATTCTCATGGCTATCTCAGCTCCTTCACCTCCTCCTCCGGTCGATGAAGGTGATCCTGCTGCCTCCTCTAAACCAGCCATGGCCACCGATCTCCTTTTCAGGGACCTTCTCAGACTTTGGGATGTGGTCCAAGCCTCAAGCCTATGGCGTCAGCTAAAAAAAAAAACGAGCCTCCACCTACCCCCAAAAAGGGGGGTAGGCTTCTCAGGCTCCGCTACCATGCGAAGCGCTTTTCCTTCGAACCAGAGCGGTCTTCGTACACTTCATGATTTGTGCGTGTCATCGTTCGATGAATGCACTTGCTGCAAACATACCATGGAAAGGGGTGAGTACTGTTTTCATTCATTCGTAAAATCCTATATATGTGGAAATCCGCCACACTCCCGTTTTTTTTCATGTTGCAGAGTGGGTCTCTTTCCTTCTTTGGACATCCAATCCCGGCAATTCTGCGAAAACAAAACCTTGACGCTCAACAGGGTCCAGGTGTTCTTAAGGCGGTACATGTTGGTTGTGGGGATGTCCCTTCGTGTCTGTACATTGTGGAAAAAAACATCTACAACAGGTGTCAGGCTGGTTTTCTGAAGAAGCAATGGTTGATTCAACTCTCTTTCAATTCTAATGAAACTGCCACCACGCTCTATAAAACGGTAAAAACAGACGTGCTGAAAATAGTCGAGTGACCACAGATCGTTCGAGAAAAATGAGAATCCGAAAACATCCATCAGGACTCACCAAGATTAAGCTTCCTGCGGACCATGTCTTGTGGCGGACGAACTACCCAGTCGGGCCACCAACTGAGAACCGAAGCGGCAACAGCAAGCGGCAACGAGTCCTTGTTGGTTCGTCTTCTGGGTAGGGCCGGCTTCTATTCTGAACATGTGTCTCACGCAAATGTCCTTCCACAACCCTGTTCGCACCTGTTGTTTAAACTGCACTGCTTTGAAATTGCGAGTAAAGAAGTGTACCGAGCACTCTTGAAAACCCCCCACACACGCACAAAACAAGCCATTAACTTGGCAACGTTTGGCTCAAGAAAAAGGTCCGAGTGAATTGCACTCACATGGGTTATGAGCCCAAATCGGACCGGTTAAGTCCACCCTGACGTGGTCAGGTTGATGGCCGCCATGGACCGTCGCCGCGCCGCTTCGAAAGCGCGCAGGAGCGCAGATGAGCAGCTGGATGAAATGCTGGCTGAACATCGAGCAAGGTCTGCACCAACTCGCCGAGCACAGTCGTTGGAGCCGAGCACGAACATGACTCCGGCCCTGAAGAGGACGGCAGCTACGCCGAAACAGACGTCGGTGGCTCCCAGACAGGAGACTGTGCAAGTGCCGATCTTTCCGGATGTTCCCCCTCTTCCAGCTGGTGCAGGTCTACTTCCACTTCCTCCTGGAGCCCAAGGTCATGGGGGAGGACTCGGATCGGGAGCGGCAGCCTTGCTTCACCAGGCCCGTGAGGCCTTTGGAGGGCTGGGCTTTCTCGCAACTCCATTCCCTGGGAATGCCATGGGGAGTGGCAGCCAAGCGCAAATGCCGGTGCTTCCGGAACGAGGGGATCTAAGTGGCCTTCATGGTGATGGGGGTCTACCTGCTGGCCAAGTTCAGGTACAAGGGGCGCTACAGGCGGGACAAGGTCAACGGCCAGGTGTTGGACAACATGGAGAGCCAGTTCAAGGAGCTGGTGCAAATGGGAGTCCTCCTGGACTCAGTCAAGCTCAAAGTTCACCGATTAACCCATGGACAGCTGCCAAACTTCAAGAACAACAAGCCGGTGTGGCGGGCAGCGTTGGACCTACGGATCAGGTGGAACTATTTCGTCTTCAATGTCTTCGTGAGGCCGAGCAGCGGTTCGCGGAGGGTGTCAAACAGATGGTGGGTGAGGGAAAGGCCTCATCGAATGCCTCTTTCAAGTCCGTTCCAGAGGGCTCAGGTGTTGGCGGACAACCCGTTGATGGTGGCAGTGGGCAACCCGCTGGACAAGGACATCATCTTCAAGGGGGACAAGGCCTACAACCGGGCGCTGGCACGCAACCTATGACGTCTTCGGTGTCTTCGGGGACTACGAATGGTCAGAACCCTGGCATGCAAGAAGCCGGGACTATGACGACTGGTCAAAACCCTGGCATGCAAGGAGCCGGGACTATTGGGAATGGTCAACATCTTGGCACGCAAGGAGCTGGGATACCCTGCTGGCATGGGGTCGGGGGGTGGAGGTGGTGGAGCCGCTGGACCTCCTCACGGTGGTGGACCTGGCGGTGGATTTGCTCCTGGAGGTGCGGGAATCGGGGCCGGTGGCTCCGAAGAGGGCATGAGTGAAAGCCTTCGCAACGTTGAGTTGCCAATCTTGCCAATGGACGCCAACTCATTGACCTTCGGTGATTGGTTGGTTACCATAGAACCACTACTTGCAGATGTGAGTTCATCGGCGGGAGATTGGTGGGCCACTACGATCAAGGGTGTCGAGGAGCACTACGCGGTGTGGTTGTCCTCAGAACCTCTCCAAAGGCTCAGACTGGACCCAGGAACCTCGACGGCGGCGACCAAGTGGCCGAGGACGGAGAGGAGAATGACCAGTTTGTTGCTGCAGGCGGTGCCTGAAGTGATTCGGTCGGAAGCAGTGGCGGCGAGGAAGTTGAGTGCTTCGCATCTGCTGTTCACGTTGTTTGTGAGGTTTCAACCTGGAGGCCAAAGCGAAAGGATGAACCTCATCCGCTATTTGACGGACCTGAAGACTTCTGGAACAATGTCGGAAGTCGCTTCAAACCTGAGGCAATGGCGTCGGTGATGGAACAGGGCACAAGAGCTGGCGGTAATGTTGCCGGATCCGGTGATTCTCGCGGGCGTCCTGACCAAGACCTCGGACTACATCGCCAAGACAGGCGCTCAAGCGGCATACAGGCTTGCTGTGTGTCGTCAACAGTTGAACATTGACGCCCGACCTACAACGGACGCGATCAAGATTGCGGAGCTGTTGCAGGTCGAGAGTGAAGAGTTGGCTCATGGTGTCAATGGTGCAGGAACTACGAAAACGGTTCCTGCGGTGAAATCTATGACCTTGACTTCAACGACGGCAACCACAACTACGAATGGTGGAGGTGGGCCGGAGGCCAAGGGTGGTGCCGGAGAAGGCCGGCACGAGTGTCGTTTTTGGTTAAGTGAACAGGGATGCCGCAGGGGTGATCGCTGCAAGTTCAAGCACTCCCTGTTGAGCCCCAAGGACAACAGATGCTTTCATTGCTCAGGTCTCAACCACACTCGTAAAGACTGTCCTCACATCGGCAAAACAAAGGAGGTGAATGAGGAGAGCACGAAGGTGGCCAAGGTGAAGGGCAGTGACATTAAGCCAACTACCCCGGAACGGGTGGGAGGTCAATACAAAAACCAGGAGGCGAACGACGTGGAGCCGGAGAAGCAGGTGAAGGAGGATGACAATACTCCCGCAGGTGACTCTGGAGGCACTACGGCGTCCGCTGAGTTGGGTGGCTTGGTTGGGCAGGCCGCAGCGTTGTTGAAGTCGCTGCACTCCGTGACGTTGAAGGCGATCAATGTGAAGTCGCTGGACATGGGCACTGGGGCGGCGTTGGGTGAGTCTCTAAATCTCCTAGATGGGGGAGCTACGCATCCTTTAAGGATGGCTCTGGACGGGGAGATCGAGAAGGCCGAGTTGGTGACGGTGGAGCTGGCACATGGTCAGATCATCAAGATCCAGCAACTGGAACGGTCTTGTCGGAGCAGGCGGTGGAACCTATAGTCCCTGTGCGGGGACTGGTGGATCTGGGCTACAAGATGACATGGTCCAGGTCTGGTTGTACTGTTGAACACCCGAGAAGGGGAAAGATCGTGTCACACCTTCGGGATGGGTGCCCGGTGGTTCCGGAGAAAGACGCCTTGTTGCTCATTCATGAGATTGAGGCCGCGGAGCGTCGCAAATACCTGGACATCGAGCAGGAGGACAACCTGGACCCAGAGGTGATGAGTTGGTGGGAACATCGGTTTCCTGAAGTGCCAAGGTTGTTGAGGGCAAAAAAGGTGATCCTGCACCTATTTGCTGGTGAACGTGCTCAAGAATGGTTGGAGCTACAGGATCACGGATGTGAAGTCATTGCGTTGGATGTGATGCATGGAAAGGACCAGGACATTCACAACCCGGTTTTGTGGGCATTCTTGGTCTCCCTGGCGAAGCAAGGTTCCTTGGCGGTGATTCTGGGAGGACCTCCACGTCGGTCGGTTTCGAGATTGCGTTTCCGGAGACCTGGACCACGGCCCCTACGAGATCGCCATGAACATCGCTTTGGACTACCACATCTTTCAGCAGGAGAACAACGGCTGGCAGATCATGATGCTGCCCTTGTGTTGAAACAAGTGGGGTTGTACCACATGGCGGAAGAAGCTCGGAGGGATTTGGAGGTGGCTCGCCATCCCACAGGCTTCCTGCTTGAATCTCCAGCGGACCCGGTGTCCATGGCGGCGGCATCTCAAGTGCCTTCCTTTTGGACTTGGCCGGAACTTCGTGGGCTGGAGATGGAAGAGAACATGGCCATGGTCACCTTCGACCAGGGAGCTATGGGCCATAAGAAGAGAAAACCTACAACACTTATGACTAACTTGCCGCACATGAAGGACTTGCGCAACCTCCTCGCCAAGAACCTGAAGGATGAAGCACTTCCGGACTCCGTGGAGGAAAGCATTGCGCAGTCCAAATCATGGGCTTTGTGGGCACCAGGGCTACGTGCAGCCATCAAAAAGGCCATCCAGATCTACTTGGAAAACTTCGTGGAGGTGAAACCCAAGGAGGTGGAGGGGTGGAAAAAGCACTTTGCACTGGGCCATCGGCCGTTCCGTAGGGACTGTCGTCTGTGCATTGAACAGATGGGGTCACAAAAGCCTCATCGCAGAAGGTCTATGGAAGACCGAATGTCATCAGCGTGGTCGGTGTCAGTGGACATTGTGGGCCCGTTGACCAATACAGTGGGTCTGGTCACCAAAAGACCAGTCAAGTATGCCCTCATGGCGGTGGCGTTGGTTCCCGACTACACCCAGGAGATCAAGGCCGTGAAGGATGGGGATGGACTTCATGACCAAGGTGACCAAGGAGAACGCCAAGAAGATGAGGAGCAGCAGAATGGGGGGGGTGTCCAGCCGGACTCACAGGGGTCCACCGAAGGCGCTGTGGGTGACCCTACGGCCGAACTCGGTGAAGAGGCGCCGGAGGAGGAGGAGCAGGACATCTTGAACCCGGACATGGACTACGACGAGGCAGCGTTCGCGGCAGAGTTGGAGGCTAGCCAGAAGAAGCTCCCGGTTCGCCACGTGGTGCACATGGAGCCGCTGGAATCTCGCGCTCAGGAGATGGTGATCGAGGCCATGCAGAGGACCCTGATCAAGTTCCGAGCTATGGGGATAGCCACAAATCGACTTCATTCAGACCGCGCCAAGGAGCTGTTGAGTCGACAAATGCGCAAGTGGTGCGCAACTATGGGCATCTTGCAGACGTTCACGGCCGGTGATGATCCGGCCTCCAACGGCCACATCGAGTCCGAGGTAAACCAACTGAAAAGAAAGACTCGGGTGAAATTGGCGGAGGCAGGTTGTGGACGAGAAGCTTGGCCTATGGCTATGAGGTATGCCACGGAGGAAAGAAGGCGACAACAACTGCAGCCTTTGGGAGTCCCTATGTTGCCGATGATCCCCTTCTACGCCACGGTCTATGTCAAGATGAAGAAATGGCATAAAGAAGGAGGACTGGCAGCTCCCTTCGTCCGAGGTCGACTTCTATGTCCGTGCCCGTTGATGAGTG